TACAGTTTCTCGGTCTGTATGGTATCCATACTTCAGTAAATACAATTTGAAATTGAAAAACGGTTTGGTTTTGGTATATACAAAAATATTTCAGTATTGTTTCGGTACATACCAAAATAACGAATTTGAAATAAGGAAACAATTTTAGTTCTGGCCATCAATTTCAGTGACTGAATATTTCCTATCGATCATTTTTAGACCACCTGAAACACGGTTCTGCACAAGAACACGAGCATAACTAGTATAGCTAGTAGCCTAGTATCCTTGTAAAAATGAATAATTACAGAACACATACTCTAGATTACCTCCGCAACATTACAGGCAAATGGATTCATGGATGGATAAACTTTACAAACTAATTAGGACATCTAGGAATATAGCAGGAATCACGTGGATATACCTCTGCAAACTGCAAGTAGTCATCAGAACTTTTGTTCAGAGAATATAGCAGGAATCACGTCAGAGTTGTAAGCCTGATGAAATGAAATGAAACTGTGATAAAGCACAAGCATAACTAGTAGCCCACTTCACACGATTAGAGTTTAAAAGTAGTAATTAGGACATGTATGTTACGATATGCTATATTGCTGCCACTCTCAGCCATCTGTTGACCTGAACTTCTGAAGACGAACACAGAAAAATAACAAGATGCGGAGTTAGATTTAGAGCCACAAGTGATAGGTACCTGTTTTTTTTTTTGACAAAGGATGAATTTTATTGGCTTAAAATGAAGCATTAAAAGGATACGAAACACGATGACCACACATCATGCCTCTACATAATTAGGATGCACACAACCACCAACACACACGCAAAAACACGCCGAGAACTAGCAAAGGCATATAAGACAAAATCTATGTTATGCGTAGGCGAGGAAAAAAGAAAATATCGCTAAGCGATCAGATCCGCGATCGATAAACTATATCTGTACCAGCCATCTTATGACATCAAATGTACAACGAGGTTCTTCAACAATAAGGACTTTAAGAAGGAAGTGTTTGCTCAAGTGCCGCCATCACGGATCCAACGAGCAAGGCCAGAATCTAAGATTTCACAATGAAGAATTAGTCCGAGCATATCCAAGCAATGTTTTCAACAAGGTAACGACGTAAAACAACATCGACGTTGCCATTACCAGGTATAACCAACTCCGTTCAGATCAGGGTTTCACCCTGGAGCTCAAGACCTGGTGCACTTTTTTTTAATAGTTTGGATTGCTTACCACACATGTGTCATGTGATACATCGGGTGCACTAGTAGCACTACCATCACAGTAACATGTGTTATCGCCACCATTTTTCCACGATCCCAGCAGTTAAATGCGCTATGGGACCGCCACCGATGCACAACCATCCTTTTGCATCAAGCCGTCGTCTATAATTTGCATCTCACCACTAAAGTCAACCACCGGATCTAGAGAGATGAACCCTCTTTAAGATTTTTTATTGACTACTGTTGTCGTGGAGCCATAGGAGGTCGCTATAGCACAGTCTCCAACCACCACCACCTAGCCGATCATGCCCACCTGATTTCACAACCACGTCCGCTTGCTAACATGTCCTGTTTCGGTCTAGTGGACCAGCAGGAGGGGCTTATTGCTTGAGGTGGGATGGTTGTCAATCCAGCATTAGCAATACAACACACTAGCAACATAACAAATCTCCAACATCAATCGTCCAATTTCGTGCAATTTTCTAGGCTGTGCACGGTTGGGACGCAGGAGAGCCATAGTGGCGAGGGCCGGTGGGCTGCTGGTGTCAGTGGTGGGGGGATTTGACGAGGAATAGTTGATAACCCACAAGTATAGGGCATCATTTGTAGCCTTTTTTGATAAATAAGATTGTCGAATCCAACGAGGAGCTAAAGGTAGAACATATTCCCTCAAGTTTTATCGACCACCGATACAAGTGTAGGCACACTTGACGTTTGCTTTACCGAAAACAAGTATGAAACTATTTTGTAGGTGTGATGCTGGAACTACTTTGCAAGAATAAAACTAGGAGTACTTTGCAAGATAATAAAAGTTAGTTGTTTAGTAGAGATATTTTTGTCACACAAGAAAGTTATTTGTCCCTAGGTGATCGATAACTAAACCGTTAATCATTATTGCAATTTTATATGTGGGAGAGGCATGAGATAATATACTTTCCGTACTTGGATCATATGCATTTATGATTGGAACTCTAGCAAGAATCCACAACTTCCAAAGATCATTAAAGTAAAACCCAACCATAGCATCAAGTATCAAGTCCTCTTTATCCCATACGCAACAACCCCCTTACTCGGGTGTAAGCTTCTATCACTTTAGCCACCCACCAAAAACGAATCATGAATCTATTGCAACACCCTACAGCGGGGATCCCTCACGTTTGCACGACACGAAGGGCACCATAGGACAACACCAAAATAAAATATATAACTCAAACCAATCATGATCATCAATCAACCCATAGGACAAAACAGGTCTACTCAAACATCATAGGATAACCAGATATCATTGGATAATAATATATAGTGTTGAGCATCATGTTTATGTAGAGAATTGCAGCGGGAATAGAAAGGTTACACCGGTGCATAGAAGGGGAGAAAGTTGATGTTGACGGTAGCAAGATTGTTAGTGTAGATTGTCATCATGATCCTTGCCCCGGCGGCGTTCTGGCGCCACCGGGAGAGAGGGGGATAGAACCCCCTCCTTCTTCCTTGGCCTCCTCCTAGATGGGAGGAGAGTTCCCACTCTAGTCCACGGCCTCCATGGCGGCGGAGGAACGAGAGCCCCTCCGAGATTGGATCTATATCTCTGTTCTCTTCTGTTTCGCGTTTTTGTTTTCTGGCATTTCACCGTTTTTTCATAAATTATATTTCTTGCAGCGAAAGAAGGGCCCCAACCGTCTTACCGGGTGCCCACTAGGCACCACCACGCGCCAGGGGGTGTGGGCCGCTCCCTGGTGGGTAGTGGAGGCTGTGGACCTCCGTTTGCGTTGATTCCACCTCCAAAAAATTACATATATTCCAAAATAATTCTCTATAAATTTCTGGCGTTTGGACTCTGTTTGATATGGATATTTCTCAAAACAAAAAACATGCAAAACAAAGAACTGGCACTGAGCACTGGATCAATATGTTAGTCCTAAAAAATAATATAAATATTGTCAAAAGTATATAAAAGTTGTATAATATTGGCATAAAACAATTAAAAATTAGAGATACGATAGAGACGTATCAATAGCTGAGCAAGTCACAGGGTCGCTACTCGCCTCGGCGGGATTGTGCTGCGACCAACCATGCTTGTCATGCTCGTGACCTCGTCACCCGCATGCACTCCGGTGTCGGCGGCGGCTTGTGCTGGTGACCTGACCTGCCCTGCCCATGACCATGAGCACTGGGTGAGCTTGATTGGTACTTGGTCGAGAGACTCCTGCTCGGTGCCTTAAGCGCCGGCCAGGAGAACCAGCGCACATGTGTCCCCATTAGGTAGGCCCAAAATCATGGCAACCTGCTCACTCGCCCAGGGCGCCTTGGTTCGCTCGGTCATGGTTGACGAGTTGACTGATCGACCGTTGCCTATTGAAAAAAATAAGAGAAAATAGCTAAAAATTAAAATAGCTTTGCAAATTAAAAAATCATGAATTTGAAAAGATTACAAACCTCAAAAAAGTTGACGTTTTTGGGGGAGAAAAGTCACAAATTCAAAAATAAGTTCGTAGTGATTTTGAATAAAAGTTCGTAGATTTGCAATAAGTTCGCTGATTTTTTGTAAACAAAATTCAGGATTTTTTGCAGATTTAGAAAACATCATCTATTTCAAAAAAATCATGGATTTTTTTGAATAATTTGATTTTCAAAAAGTTCATGGGTTTGAAGAGATGTCATTAGTTGTGATTTTTATAAGAAATAATTTGATTTTTTTTTTGCAGGGGAGAAATAATTTGATTTGACTGAGCTAATGTAGGTGGTGGTTTTGGGAAATTACCGATTTGATTTGGATTATTCTGATTTACTGTATTTAGATTGGTTTTTATTTTCTATGGCATCTGTTGGGATCAAAAAACATTAACAGGAAAAAAAGGGCAGAGAGTGTGGGGAGGAAAAAACACAGGAGGAGGTGAGGGGAATTTTCGAACTCTCCTTTAATAGTTGAGATTTGCTTGGTAGGGGAAGTGACAGAAATATTTCATTTAGTTAAGATGTTGATAGGACTTTCTTTGAATTGATTGCGTATATGCATGACATGGTTTTGGAAAAGTAATGATTTGCTTTAAATTATTTCAATTTACTCAATTTACGATCATTTGCATTATGTACGCCATGGATTGCAATTAAAAAATCAATGGAAAAAAGGGTAGTGAACGTGGGGATGAAAATATTGGGGATGAGGGGAGGCAAATCTACCAACCCTCCTTTAATAGTAGGGATTATCACTACACCACAACACTACACCCCCAACAGTCAGGTTGGTCGGGAATACAAGTTATCCCGACCCACAGTCGGTCAGGAAAGACTATTGCCGACCGACCCTGTCTGTTGGGGAAAGTCCAGACGGGAAAACCCTTTCCCGACCGACATATATTTCCCGACGACTGCTTGTTGGCTATGGTGTATCTTTCCCGACCAACTTCCTGTTGGGCCTGCCATGGGCCTTTCCCGACCAATAGTCCATTGGGGCTGCCTTGGGTCTTTCCCGGCCGACTATCTGATAGAGTATTATTTCTCGACCAACAATCCATTGGGGCTGCCATGGGCCTTTCCCAACCGACTATCAGATAGGCTATTCTTTCCCGACCAACATTCAGTTGGGCCTCACATTAGCCTTTCGCAACCACCTATCAGATTGGGTTTTGTTTTGCCAACCATGCATCATCTGTTAGCCCTCCCATATAGCTGGATTTTATGTTAGCAACGAAATATCAATCAAGTTACATAATTCATTACAATAACGTGCATGTCATCCAACAATATTAAACCAAACCCAAACAATAATCACACATTCATAAATTTTCACATCAAAATTTCCCATACACTAATTTAACTAATAAACTAGAGCAAACATTATGGTTCACTGTTTGAGAGCAAAAATATGTCGCTTTGTTTTCTGGAATTTGATCTAGAGGCACATGATCTACATTGGCTCCTGGTAGTGCGCAACTAGATTCCCACCAATCATTCTCATACTTGACATAAAAGCCTTCCTTCTTCATCTCATTGATCCATATTCCCATCGACACATCCTCCAGCTTGAACATCTGCAAGTCAAAATCCCAAGTTAATATCCTATATATAGCATAGCCGGAGAACATGATATTTTCTCTAAGCTACCTTCAACTAAGAGAATTCATTATCACTAGCGTGAAAGGAGGTACCCTTGGTTTCTTTCTGCATTGGGCTGCAAACAAGAGCATATATTTTTCATATCTGAATATGAATCTCCAGACTGCGATTAGAAATGTAGAACTGTGTTTTAGGTATTATTATAGCAGCAAACAATATCAGTCTCTGAACTGAATGTTTATGGCTATCCGAAGGTAGAGCAAGGCAGAGTTATGAAGATAGAGAAATCAAATGGGTTTAAATGACAAAACTGAGACATGTAACATTTTGTCAGGACCCTACCCGGTGATACCTATGTAGGTGTTTTTTCCCAATCGAACTTCACCGATGGAGGTTTGAGAAAAGAAGATGAAGCAGAGCATGTACCACACGCACAGTACCACCCAGGATCGAACTTGACTGATGAAGGTATGAGAAAAGACGATGAAGCAGAGCATGTACTACACGCACAGTACCACCTAGGATGGTGTGGGATTGAAATTGGCCTCTAAGAGAGAAACATGTAAAAATATATGTAGTAACATTACCAAAGAATTGAAAACCCCATATAGTTATCATATCTGAATTTGAATCTCCAGACTGCAATTGGAAATGTAGCCGTGTAGGTATTATCATTATAACAACAAAATATCAGGCTTTGAATTGATTGTTTTTGCCTATCTGAAGGTTCAACAAGACCTGTGAAGATAGAGACATCAATTATTTGATTTTAAACGAAAGAGTTGAGATACATAAGATTTTGTCACCCGTTGGCCTCTACCCAGTGATATGGGAGGGTGCTATGTATGTATGTGTTTTTTTGCCGGTCCAACTTAACTGATCGAGGGAGGTCTGAGAAAAGAAGATGAAGCAGATCATGTATTACACGCACAATAGCACCCCCAGATGGTGTGAGATTGAAATTAGCTAGAGAGCAAACACGTACTGCACGAAGGAGGAGACGAGGAGGGGACTCGGCGGAGAGCAGCAGCAGCTAGGGTTCCGGCGCCACCTCCATGGGGCCACTGGTGCCGTCGTCGCCATAGTTTCTTGGTCGGTCATTGACGCAGTAGCCGTGAAAATAGTCGAATTAGTGCCCGACGGCCTGCATCAAGGAACACAACAGTCATACATGCTCAAAACTAGATTCAAACAAAAGAACCAGTCTTCACTGCAGATTCAAATCATACGCACCCACAGCCCGGCCATGGTAGTGCTTGAGTGCTTGTTAGAGAAGGATGCACAGCTACAGGGTGATGCTCTTTTCAACGCCGAGCTAGCTTCACGGCCATATAATCTGGTACCAGTCGGCAGTGAACTTGTAAAACAACAGCAAGTACTCATCATCATCATTTTTCATATATAACAAAAAGGCATGCATCTCTTGCTATAAATTGGTACTAGCGTATAGGTTTTCAGTAAAACTACCACGTTTTGGTTCATGTACAGAGAACATATTCGCATGCAGGGGACCATTTATAAAAACTGGGTTTTATATTCAAGGAGATCAATCATGCAGATTAAATGTACATGCCACTTCAAAAGGCCTGGCACATAGTACTGAACTGTGACCGTTCTTAATTCCGACCACATGTGCAATTGGTTATCTTTCAGGAACATCTAGTTTTACATAGCAGAACATAGTATCAAAACAATTATGCATTTGTGTTGCTAACTCATGCTAGAAATACATACTTGGGCATCATAACAACTGTATGCTGAAATAGTTTGCAGCCCAATGAGGAAAGATATGTTGTGCAGAATTTAACGACTTTAACATGTTAGCATTAAAAGGAAAAAAATCTTCAATCATCTATGAAGCTGGTAGCAAATCCATTGATGATTTCAGAAACTAGGCAAGCCTAAGGTTCAGAATGAAGCAGCAGTGTTTGTAAACTTTTAATTTCAATAACCAGCGGGCCAGTAAATGGCATGCTAAAATGTAAAAGTTAAGGGGAAAAGAAGCAACAGAATAGTATACCATCTAAGAAACTTTTATGTAATTACCCAGGTCTCATAAGAAAAAACGAAATAATCATTCCAAAACAACATATTCTGAAACAATGTTGTATTAGATGGTCCGCCTTATTTCTTTACAGCAACACGATTTCATGTGTACTCTTCTGAAAAGAACACATTATTTCTCACCTGTCCCGAAGAACAAAGTTTTGTTTACTAACATTTGCCTGTTACAGCAAGAGTGAACCATGTCTAGAGATATATATGTGCCATACCTACATGAGTGTAGAACTGCAGATCACTGAAAGTTAGTTTTGGGAGATGAGTACCAAACAACAAAATTTTAATAAGAAACAACAAGAAGTACATCGATATCCAGCTCTGTGCATTGACTAATAACAATCAATGCTTGTCTATATTCTCTTATTATTATGTATGTTTAGCTCGGTATATAAAATATTTTGTGTTGTTCTCTCCATCTAAAGTTTGTCTCAGATAATGTACAGTTCATTGCTTACAAGGTTTAATAGAATTACAATTCGTAGCGGAGTTTCAGTTTTCAAGGGGACAACATATTACCATGTATACTGTCTAATGCTTCATTTCAAAGGAAGATTGGATTAATCACCAATCAGTAGACAGTAGAACATCAACATTCAGCAGCAATACGACAGTAGCACTAGCACATCAAGCAACACAACCATGGCTAGCAGCACACTGCACACCACAGCAAGCACACTCACAGCAGAACAACAGTGCACACCACAACCACACAAGCAGCAAGCACCACAGGAGCAATAGCAAGCAGCAAGAAGGCACACGGTCATAGAGTAGTAGCAAGCAGCAGCACAAGCAGGGGAAGAGGGGTGAGCAGAGGAACTACCTGCGAGAGGAGCTCGGGGAGTCGGGGTGGATGAAGGGGAGCAGATCTGGCTGGGGAAGGCCGAAGGGGGGAGCCGAGGACCTCTTTTCTCCTCTGTATCCCAAGCCCCTCGCTAGCCATATCCAGATCCCTCTCTCGCCGCCGCCAGGCTCTCTTTTGTACTCCGACGGCAATGGTGGATACGACGGTGGAGAGGGGGGGACGGGCCAGGCAGGGTGGCGGCAACCTTGCTGGAAGCTTACACGCGGCGGCTGGCCGGAGAGAGCACTTGCCGAGGAATAACAGTCGAGCACGTGGCCATGGCAGGATGGTGTGCGGTTAGCGTCGGAGATGCTGGAGAATGAGGGGAGAGGGGGCGACAGCCTCACGGCCCGGAGAGCACGTAGCCGGACGGGGAGAGAGCACCAGCGACCAGAGAGGGCTCGACTGGCGGCGGCGGCGGCGGAGGATTTAGGTTTGGAGGCTACGAGATTTGGGGGCAGTCTGTGGAACAGGTTTTTTTTGAGACAAAGTCTGTGGAACAGGTTGGAGGCAGAACAAGAGAAAGGAGGGATTTTTCGCGTAGTGGGCTGTTTTCGCGCTAAGTTTTCGCCCCCGCGCGCACAGCGACCTGCCCGGCCCAGTTACCCACAAGCAATCGGTCGGCGTTAATTGCCGACCAACAATCCAAGGGGAAACGAAGCATTCCCGACCGATAATATGATGTAGAATAATAAAGTATTCCCGACTGATAGTTTGACACTACACGTCAGTATTGCCGTCCAACAATATGATACGAGTTTTCCCGACCAACAGTTCGTTGGTACACTGTACTTTTACCAACACACGTTGGTTGGGAATGTGGTGTCGTGGTGTAGTGTATGTTGGTAGGGGAAGTGACGTGAAGTTTTGATTTAGTTGAAATTTTGATTTGATTTGATTGAGTTAATGCATGAGGACGTTTTGGGATAGTACCGATTTGGTTTAGATTATTTAAATTTACTCTAAATCTTTTGGATTTATTTTGTGCGGCATCTGTTGGGATTAAAAACAAGCCAACAGAAAGGAGGGAATGCGGGGAGGAAAAAACCAGGGAGGAGGTGAGGTGAATCTACCAACTCCTATTTAATACTCCCTCCGTCCCAAAATTATTGTCTTAGATTTGTCTAGATACGGATGTATCTAATACTAATTATTGTCTTAGATTTGTCTAGATACGGAATAGTAATTATTGTCTTAGTTTTGTCTAGATACGGATGCATCTAATCTTAGATATATTCGTATCTAGACAAATCTATGACAAGAATTTTGGCACGGAAGGAGTATTAGAGATATAGTTATAGGGGAAGTAGGGAAGATATTGATTCAGTTGAGATTTTGATAAGATTTGATTTAATTTTTCTGAATTAATGGAGGATCTGGTTTTGGAGAAGTAGTGATTTGGTCTAGGGAATCACAGACCTGAAAAACTTATATAAGAGCACCACATCAGAGAGAGGGGGAAGTGGGCACCTTCCTAGCAAGATTTTCTTTGCAGAGAGAGAAATCTGTAGAGCTTAAAGCCACTCTGTAGTTCAGCCCCTGTTTTATTTTCTCACTCTCTCTCTGAAAACAATCATCTATCTCAGTCTCACACACACGCAACACAGTCGACCAAGTGAACGAGAAGGAAATCAAATTCCAAGAGACCGCGGCCTCTCAATCGATAGCTCATGGCGGCCGTGATGGCCTCCATAACCAGCGAGCTCCTTTTCCTCCTGCCCTTCATCCTCCTGGCCGTGCTCAGCTTCTACACCATTACGGTGGCTAAATGCCATGCCGGCCGGACGAAGAAGAAGCGCCCGAATCTGCCGCCCGGCGCCGTCGGTTGGCCCTTCATCGGCGAGACCTTCGGGTACCTCCGCACGCACCCGGCCACCTCCATCGGCCAGTTCATGAACCAGCACATCGCACGGTCCGTAGTCCGTACATACACATACACTCATACAAATACAAAGCATGCCAACACGCGTGAACGAACATTCGGGCTGAGGTCGCATGATATTGATGGTATATGTATGCAGGTACGGGAAGATATACCGGTCGAGCCTGTTCGGGCACCCGACGGTGGTGTCG